ACTCTGACGAATGTAATATATTTTTATTCGATATGAACTATAAAAAGAAGTTACCCGGACGAGATTATTCGTGTGAACTGGAATTTTCGGGTGGTTCGAAATCAAGGAAAATATGAGTTCGAGGCGGGCAAGAAAATCCGCCAGGAAAGGTTCGAAGCGGCTAACGAAGAGAAAAAGGTTTCGGTTGCATTTTCTTCGCCGGAACGTGACGAAGCTCGGTCGAAAGAAACGCCCGTGCGGTTTCAGTTCGTCGAAGCGGAACGCGTGCAATATTTCTTTATATGTTGAGATTAGAGAGACCCGGTGGGCTCTCGTGACGCTGGGAAAAAAGAAAAAGAAACGGCAACGCGTTGCATAATGGCGCGGATAAACTAAAACCTACGCGAGCTTGCGGGAGTTTTGCAATCCTAATAGCACCGGCGTTCTTCGATCGTTCCGCGGAATTTCGACCGGCCCCGCTAATTAGGAATTCGATGCAGCGGCGCTCGATGAAATTTATTGCTTTTCGGGGGGGAACGGCGCTGTTCTATTATGTACGGCGCGCGATCGTAAATAAATGATATCGCGTGTACCGAGATCGACGCGGAATTTATTTATTTACTTCGCAGCTTGGACACCCCGAAACGGGTGTAAGTGGGTTACCGAAAAAATTTTCCTCGGAAAAGAGGGGGGAGGAGAGTAACGGGGTGCAAGCTGCAGTTAAAAAATTTCACGACTAGTTTCCGAGGCACGTTTCGATCCTAAAGACTGAACAATTACGACAGAGGCAGACGTTGATTCACTTGGTCGATGAAAGCCGCGGGAGTAAATCGATTTCCAAATGCATTGTCTCGGATCGACGGAACCATAAGCTTCAAAGAAGCTTATAGCGCGATCGGATAGTGCACGGCGAAATGTAGCTCGTGGAGAGAGCGTTCGAATTAGAATTAATGCACAGAAACGCGCGAAGGAAATGATACGGAACGTTCCAGGGATGAGCGAAATTCTTATCCGTATACGAATTTCGAATAACCGATAAAAAAAGAAATACAATTTCACCGGACTCTATCCACTTTGTCCCAATAATAACAGTTCGAACCACTCTGAGCGATTAAAGAGACTTTAACCTCGGCTGGAAATTCACAAAAATTCCAGTCACAGCGCCTCGAAAGTTCCCGCAAAGTCCTAACCACCCTTAAGAAACTAGAATTAATACAAAAAGGGACAACACACCGTAGCCAGTGCCTCTGATTTTAATTCGCGTCGCGTCCCTTCCAACTCTCCCTCTAGTTCCCGTTCGTCCCTCTTCCACCTAGGCTCCTTCCTCCTCGCGTCGTGCAAACCTACCCCCGGTTCACCCTCTCGACACCGAAGGCAACCCCAAACGTAGGCAGAACTACGGGAAACTTCGCAGTGGCGTACACTTAGCTGCTCTCCAGCGTCTCCCGCGACCGCACCGTAAAGATCCGCCATCGAATGCTTCCTGTTCCCTCGATCGTTAATAATCCTTTCATCCTCCCGGGATATTCCATTCTCCGCGTCTACGCGGATCAAACGATTTCCCCGCGCTTTCGATTTCGAAAAATTCCAAAGGGAAACGGACAAACACAAATCTGGTCGTTTGTTCGAGGGAAAAATGAGGCAACCGTTCGGTTCGAAAAGACAATATTAAATTATTGTTTGACATCGTTCGAGTGGATTCTTGGAAGTTTGCTGCAGCCACGTAGGCGTTCTGAGGGCGATCGGTGGTCCCAAGGGGCTCGTGTCCGGGTGACGAATGCCTCGAGGTATCATCAGAGAAACAACAAGCTTACAACCGTAGGGCACCGGCCTCGTGAACGCACAGGCCTGACGGAAGTTGAAGAAGAAACAGCGGTGAACCGTGCACACGCACGCTGACAACGCTCGGGAGATCCGACGATAGCGCGAGAAAAGATGATTTATGAGCCAGGGACACGCCACGTCGTTCGTTCGAGTTCGCGAACGAGTGACCGGGAGTGAACAACTCGGCGAACCGAACAGCCAGGAGGTGGCCTCGCTGTTCCAACAATTACTATATTATTAATCTATAGTACAATTTCTTTCGCTGGTAAAATAGCCAGCATCGATTGGGATACAAAGTACCGGATGAATTTTTGGGGATTTCAAGTCACGCGTCACCGCGATCATTTTATTGGATTTATTTTCAAGGGATGTAATTCTCATGGAACAATTTTTTATTAATATTAGGAGCGAGAGAATCGACTCGAATGACGTCGAAGGGAAAATAGGAAAAGGGATCGAAAGGGATATTGCGACATATTCAAAATGTCTTCGTTTCTAGTATTGCACAAGTTCGAGAACTCGTCCGGGTTAAACGCGAAGCGGAGGATTTCCCGTGTCCGCTGTCTGATCGATAAAACCGTATCTACTTATTTTACAGCTCCTTCGGTAGTAATCTTCCCGCTGCTAGACGATTATATCTCTCTGCCAAGCTATTGTAAATCCCTGTTTCGAGACTTTTTTGTTAAGAATATCTATATAAATAAAGCAGTAACTTTTAAGCAACTTTGACTGGAGATCTAACGTAAGGATTCCAAGTTCATCCGGATCAATTTTCGTCGAAAAATTGATATTACGCGGACCAAGTTCAACGATGGCTGAAGAAAGGATCCACGGGGCAAGAAACGATCGAGACGCGGGTAAATAATAAGAGAAACCCCGGAGTCAGGGGGAACGGGAGACAAAGGAAGATGGAAACGAAGCCAGAACTAGCTGCCACAGGTTCGTCGGGACGCTGGGCGTGCGAAATTTCGACGGCCGGCGTCTATTTCCACGGCTCGTTAGCGGCTCGACTTCGCGTCGATGCGTTCGAACGCGTGCACTCGGCTCGCGAACTCGTTGCATTCGGAAATGCAGGTCAGTGCATCGCTGCCACGCGACCCAACCGTGTCGCCAGGTATTTAGCGGATATTCATTAGCTTCCTTCCGAGAATTTATAGCAAATTTCCTCTTTTTGCCCCTCGATTCTCCCACGCTTTATGTTTATTCCAAGTTAAAAAAGAGTAAATAACGATCCTGTTAAAACCATCACTATACCTTAATAATAAACACGCCTAACGAATCGCGGAATAGGAATAAATCTAATCCTTTCAAGATCAATTAATCGAAATGTTAATATCTTGCGATCTTGTGCAATCGTTCGTGAATACATTGAACCGTACAAGGTTCTCCTGACGCGCGATGTCACGTATCAATTATCGAAATAAGAATAAAATTATTATTCGCGCGTGTACGCAATTATTCCAGAGTCGACTCTATCGATCACTCGAGGGGTGTTCGTTCTTATCGAAATAAAAAAAGAGTCGAAATCCAGCAAAGGGTTAATTGCTGTCGACTTTTTGCGGCGATCGGCGCCACGTGACAAATGTAAACCTCGCGGCTGGCCGATATTATCGAGATCTCGAAAGTGAAGACCGGTTGTCCGTCTTCGGAGATTAATGAACGCGGTGCTTAGGTATCAGAGGCTCATTAAGACACATTAACCCCAACCTCGTTTCGTTCTCTATTTTTCGCCTTGTCCTAATGGCGCATTGATCACCGTTGCCCAAGAAAAACCGACTCCTCGAGATCCGACGCGAGAAAAAAGAAAATGTTCGCGCGTGGCTCTTAGCGGGACAAATGCTCCGTGATCGATTCTATCGCCCCCGCTAATCGATTCGAGGAAGCCTCGATGCTCGGAACAACGCTCCGACATGACCGTTCGACACATTTTTATCTCGAAAACGAACAACGTTTTATAGTGTCCTTCCCGCGAATAATAAGTAACGATTATTAAGGGGTGATTTGCTCGTACTTGATCTAAATAACTGTCCGTATAGAACCGTATTGGAAGGTAGTTCCAAGTCGTAGCCTCGGTTTACAAAACGAGGCCCGACGAATCGGTGCTTTAATCGACGATGAAATTTTTTTCCGGCCTGTCGACCATAAAAGAGACGACGCGCCTCGACTTTGGACGTTCTGCACGCGATTGCTCGAAAGTCGCATGGCAATCGAGCTACTACCCCCGCGGAAAGAATCTATTAATCCCGGGTGGTCTGAAATCGACGGAAAATTCGATAGTCCGAGAACGGGACATGTGCGCGAACGATAATCCGTTCCCGAGGATTATATCTTATCTCGCCGTTATCAGGAATCTCTGAAAGGACAGCGAGTTTATCTGGCCGCGGTATATGGGCCAGATAATTTTATAATGCGCGGAATCGAACGACGCTTTCAACCCGGATGACTTCCGTTCTCCCGGATTTAACGTCGATACGCTGGCTCGAATAACGAAAATTAATTATCAGACCGTTTTGTTCCACGATGTCTACAACTTTTGCAAAAAAAATACCACTGGCGGTTAATACGTTTCTAGAAAAATAATTCCGAGCAAATCCAAGTCGATCCAGAATCCGTTTGATAAAACGATAGGCGAAAAAAAAAAATTTCGAAACCGAATGAAACCGTTTCGACACACGGACCGAACTAAAAGTGGATTATTGATGTCAACGCGAGTAAAAGGAAATAAAATTTGGCCCCGAAACCGGAATTGTAACGGAAACCATAAAATCGGCATCGGTCAGCCATGTAATCGGGACGGCGCGGGACGATCTATGGACCTATTTTTCCGGTATTGCCGACCGTGAACGTCCAGCGCGAAGTACAAATGAAAAGTTTGAAAAGTCTATTTGCTCGTTACCGCCAGACGCGACAATACATTACGGGGACGTTACTGAAAAATCAACGCGAACTGTTTTCCCTGCGCTGCCATATGCAAAAGTTTTACTACTCGGCGTGGGTCCTCTAAATCGAGAAAGTATACATATTTCTACATTATACTTTCTCTCGTAGACTAAACTGGAGTTTTATAATAAATAAATAAAGAGTCTTGGAAGGAACGAATTTAGTTCCGAGCGTTTGTACGGTGGCCGCGCCGGGTACGGCGACAATTTGGCAGGGAGAGAAGAGAAGAAAATGAGTGGTATCAAGAATGTACTCACCTCGGTGCGCTGCTGTAACCTCTTGTTCAACTCGTAGAGCCTGTAGTCCGGCTGGCCAAAGTACGGAGTATGCCTCCTGGGGACAGGCAACGATCTGTCAGATCAGACCGATCGGTCATGTTAGGTGTGCTGTGTACAGTGTGTTCTCTGGTGTGGGTCGCGCGTGTCGCATGCATGTAGACCCGGGGTTCGGCATGCACCACGGGCTTTCGTAAGCCGCCCCGGAGCGGTGCAATTCACGACGAAACACGCCGAGCCGTGGCACAGATCCGCGAGAACCCGACACGAAACTTACGACTTTCACCGGCCAACAACGACTGTCTATTTTCCGGTTTCGTTCCGGTGAAATCAACCGTTCGATCGAAACTTTCAACTTTGGATTCGGACGGAGCTTCCTGCAGGAACGCGAGAATCGACTCCCAGAGTTCCGCGGTTACTCGATACCAATCGATATCGCTTAAAAACGTTTTGCTCGTTGTTTAAAAAAAAATTGTACTCGCGAGACGCTCGAGTACGTCGCTACCTTTGCGGCTGGTCTCCCCGAGTCGATTCTTACGTTGATTTCATTATTATCTATCGACGCTCGTTAAAATATTTTTCCTACGATTACGTAGACTTTGTTCGGTCATGGTACGACAGTTGGATGAATTTTATTTGTATTAATAATTCAGACTCGGTACTGTTATTTAAAATTTCGGGTCGATGATATATTTTGTTCGCTCGGACAAGAACGATCTATTTCTTTCAACCCCTGATCTAATTATCGACTGGACGAATATCAGCAAGAACCAGAGTCTACCTATAAAATCAACACTGGAAATAATAAATTAAACTTTGCAAAATACTTTCTTTTCGTTCGTTCGGTAAATAAATAAAAAATCTGTCGCATGTTTTGGAATCGTTTGAACGGTAGGTGTTTCACGCCGTTTAGAGGATCTATTTAAATACACGAGTCGGCGAGGCAAGCTCGACCGATTGCCACCAAACCGTGACCGGACCGCCGCGATAAAAATCGGGCATTAAATGTTCACCGTTGTTCTAAAACGTGAACTTTGTTATTCAATAACAATGCAACGGATCTGGGATCGTGCCGCGGTATCGTGACCGGAGCTACCAGCGTAAATCAAGTTTAATAAGTTCGTGCATGTCTTTCGGTTGTTTGCATCTGCACGCGTGTTGAACACCTGTTAGGGTTGCAACCGCTCCAACGACAGGCACGACTGAAATCTCCAAACGCGGAGTCTGTCGAGGAAGATCCAATTACTCCGAGAAGAACGACGATCGGAGGAATTGTCTCGACACGGAATCAATGATCGATCTATCGACGGTGCTTTCGATCGTAATATTAATTATTAAGCTAACAGAACGACAAAAAATGATACAGAATTCCAACGAATTCTTCGGAGAACAGAGCAAACGGAACGCGTTGTTTCCGTGCACCCCGAGAAGCTTCGAAGTTTATCCAGCATGTTCTGTCGTGCAATTTGCATGATACGATCCCCAACGACGACGATAGAAGATACCTGGTTGCCGCCATCGCGTTCGACTCATCCTCCGATCTAACCGAGGAACCGTACACAAATTACGCGACGTAGAAAGAAGCAATAACGCTTCCAACCGCGGGAATAAATTGCTACGTACGCGTAATTATCCTCGTTAAGTGGACGATGCACGAAAAAAGACATTTACTTTCTTCCGTTAGGTCGAGGAATAGGTCTGGCAAGGAAGGATACCAGCAAAGCAGATTTCCAACTAATATTGCACGGATTACGAAACATTTGTACACGCTAGAAGATCAGAAAATATGTTTCCTCGCAGAGTTTATATTTATTATCCTGTATAGTGAATATCTAGGAATACGCGAGCAGCGTTTATTTATATGCTATATATTATTATCAACATGGGTGATTGATCACGCCAGTATCCCTGGCGTTTTCTAAACAACTGGAGGGGCCCTGCGACCCAAAATTTGTCGCGAAAAGTTAAAAGATCCGTGAAAAGATCGACGCGCTTGTTCGCGAATGTATATTTGCGCGTGGCGTATTAATGCACGCGTCCAAGTATCGGTCGCAAAGTTCTAATTGAATATGGGAGTTGATTGTAGAGAGATCGTTGCACTGCAGCCAGCGATAACGGTTTCGAGGGTCACGAATCGACTTGGCTGCACTGATATATCGATCACCCTCGTCTTCGCGAACGTTTTCTCGTCGCGTCTTGTTGCTCGTGAGCGTCTACGACTTGTCGGAACTACGGGGCTGATTACAACTCATAGATCATCGTTGCAATTCGCTGAAAGTGTAACTGTTTTCGAGACTAACCAGTTGCTTTCAGAAATCAAAGCACAGGAACACCGAGAATCTTCTTTCGATCTCTGGATCTTTGCTCCAACTAAAATCTGACGGAGACTTTTTCTTTCTCCGAGAGTTAGAGTTCTTTCACGAGAACTTTACCAGCGAAACTTTCTAATATGCACCATGTATAAAAGTTTCTCTACTCCAAATACTTAATTAAAAAAAATTGTTTTGTCGCTATAATTCGATAGAGCGATGCAGAAATGTACTATTTCGCCTATCTTTTGATCTATCAGGTTTTACATCGACTCGTAACTTTCTAGATCCCATGATTTCTATGGAACCCGTGAGATTAACGGTATCCTGCACGATTGGTAGCGCGGTTTAATCCATCGACGCGGCAAAGAAAGCGCTCGAATCCCGAAATCGAGTCCGACGCACACGATCGAAACTAACAAAACGATGTTGTTTCCCCGGCCAGTTGAACGACAGGTTAATTCTTGGAAATTGGATTGGCTCTGTAATGCGTGCTCGTAACGCGGACAATCGATCGGTGGCATCAAAATATTAGCGTTCGACTGACTGGCTGCGGTCCGCTGACAACGTCGCCGCCGTTCACCGGAATCGTTATCGATTTTATTATCGACGTTGCTCTATTAGGTCGATGTTCGCCTACGTACAATTGGCCAAATTTCATTCGCGAATGACGTGTACAAATTTTAAATACGTCCGTGAACTAGTTCCATTCGTAAATTAACGAAAGGGAGGCGGTTCGAACGAAGCGAAACGCGGACGAACCTTCGGAGATTGAACAATTTTTTACGTCAAACATCGAAAACGTTCTAATCGGAGATATTATCAGGGAGATTTTGCTGCCATAAGAGCCACGTTACGCGAGAAACGCTGAATGTCATTGGAAAGATCGATCGTGCTGGAAAGAACTTGGCCTTTCCAGTCTCCGGAGGATCGCCGCCGTGGGACCTGACGACACGTCACTACCCTTTGTACGTGTGTGTTGCGTGTGTATGGGTACACGCAGCGGGGTGATTTTACCAGGGAAGGGTCGAGGCTCAAGGGTTGCAAGGGTAACCTACTGTCGTGCACGGTTCACCAGGGACGCGCTCGACAAATTTCTCGCCCCATTCGTGCTCTGATTCATCTGGATCGCGAAAGATCGCGGTAAACTCTCCGCAGTCGCGTTACTCGAACGTTCGAGTTGAACCGGACAAAGTTGCTTGGACACATTTGAATAATATAGTAACAAATCACGAACCCCACTTGTCTTTGGAATTCTTTTTGTACCTTATAGACAAGGTTAACACACGCTCGTCTATGATTAACAAGCTTATTTTAGTTTAAAGCGTATGAACGAGTATCGATCGTGTATTAAAAAATGATACAACGCGGATATATGATATTTATAAATAAGCAAGCGAGGGATTAATAATAAACGGCGTATTGTTAGCAACGGGGCGAGGCTCGATCAAGGCTTGCCGATATTTTTCTAAAGGAAAAGGCTAATGACGTGAAGTTTCTCTTACCGAAAAATGCGACCTGTGTCGCGAAGGAGCAGAATCGCGTTTGGGGGGCAGTTAGGACCGTTGCCTCGTCGGGTGGAGAAGAAAACAGAAATGAAACGCGGTAATTCAGCGGGGGAACGTAATTTCACGTGAGGCACGTACGCCGCGCGTGTAGCGGCGCGCAATAATCCGAAACCGGCTCGCGGCGCGTTCTCTCTCATTCAAGACGTGCTGCCCGCCGCGATCGAACTAATTAATTCGTCGCACGCCACGCACCGGCGGCTCGGAATTTTTTTTACCCCTACCCTGCTTCCCCTTTCCCGCGAAGAATCGTGACAGATCGTTCCCCCGATACGGAACTAATCCGTTGAATGAAAAACTTTTACCCGCGCGAACTGGCGCCACATTTTCAGCCCGCCTGGCAGGTCCATCCCCGAGTCGATGCCCTCGATCAACTTCGATATGCCCCGACTTCTCGCGATCCACCTCCACGTTTCAATCAACGGGATAGTCCTTCTTTTTACGGCGAAAAAATCGTCAAAATTTTTGGTCCAAAATTGATTCCTCCAAGTCCACGAAGAACTTGAAACACTCACACACTTCCTAAAGCCCCGATAACTACTTGTCTGTCATCGAGTGACGGTGTTTCGATCAACCTGTTTCAAGGCCCCACGAAGATCTTGCTCCACGATCTATTTTCAGCTCGTCGGAAGTTCCATGCAACGTTGATACCATGTTCGACTCAACCTGTCCGTCTCGAACGAGACTTCTGAAGTATCCAGACCCCCAAAATATCCCAACCCGAGTCACCGTTCCCAATCGCTGATTCCTCTCTGACCGAGCATCCTGGGACCCGCAGGAACTATCCATCGGACCATCAAGCCGAGAAGAGTGGCAGGCAGGCAATGTGTCCATCGACACCTTTGCCGCGAGACTTTCGAGGCGGTTAGAGCCGTTATCAAGCCGTGGGAGTTAATGGGTTTAGTTCGCGCGGCTAATGGTCGACCCTGCACGCCGACAGAAATCAGCTGACCGGCCAGCTGGCCGAACAACCACGCCGAGGAACCGCCGGTTGAGAGCCCTCGCCTGCAGGGGTCTCAGATTGGGTTAGCAAAGGGCGCAGTTCAGACTGGAGGGTGGCGGCCGAGGGTGAGTCTGGTTGCGGAGGGAGGAAGAGGGTGTTATTAGGGGTTTGCTCATGGGGTGGCACTGCGATCAATGCTGGGGAGTCATGCTAACCCCCCTTTCGAAGTCTATATATAGAAGAATGGCGCACACACGCA